TGATGAGAAATTGGGACTGTGGCAATAGTAATTAAACACACATATAAAAACATTTTCTTCTCCGTGAGGAAGTGCAATGCCTACATTCTATTTCCATCCCTTACTTCTGTCTTCTGTGATTGCTGGAGGGCATTTTAGATGCGATTGCTCAGACTATTCAAGACCTTAAAAAAAGTTCTCTTTTCCTAGAAAGTAATTAAAACCTCCCACACTGAACAGAAATATATGTAACATATGCAAATGCTATAAAAGTAGCATGTGGTTTACATAACAATTTATAATGCTACTTTATATCTGAGGAAAAACACAATCACAGGTTTCACACACTTAGATCACCCCTCTGTGTCTGTGCTGGAACAAACGTGCTCCCTCAGTGCAGACTGTGATACGAGCTCACACTGCAGGGCATGCAAGCACTACAGTTTTTATTATCAGCTGGGGAAGGGTGCATAAATAGCATCACGTTTCCCATTAGTAAAAAGCTTCCTAAATTCTACCGACTCAACAGACAGTAATCAGGTATCAGCTACTACTTCAGCTTTGCAGTAAGATTAGAGAGCAGCTCTTCACTAGGAAATGAACCAAAACTAAGGGTGAGAGGCTGGGGATGTGGGGTGGGTGGGGAGAAAGGAGAAACAAGGTACTGCTTCATTTCCGTTTCTGCTCCGATTCCTCTAATAGAAATTCCACAAAGGCATGTTAACCTGAAGAGGACTTTCAGCAGCAAATCATCACAAAGAAGCTATGAAAGCCTGTTTAATACTTGCAGGTGGCATCTAGTCCAGGTGCTCTCAGGAGCTTATCATCTGACAAACAGTCATCCTATGAACAGGTGGTTTGCAACTGTAAAATCTAAAGGTGGAAAAACCAGTCAGGTCAGTTCAGTCCACCTCTTGCTCTACCAATGCAAGATAAGGGTTTTTTTTGACTTTTCCCAATGCATTTCTCTGGTCTTTTGGTGCTGCTTAACATTAAAATTTCCAAGTAATCCAAGAAACATCTTCTAAACTCCTACAGAAATTAGTATTTGATACCTCAGCGTAAAGAAGTTTCCCCTACCCACCCCTTCTTGCTTACCTTCTTTCACTGTTCTGTAATACAGCCACTCCAAATCACTCTAATTACCTCCCTTTTGCATCTACCCAAGAATCTCTACATTTGTGCCTCGTCTTTGCTTTCACAAGTTTTTCTAATGATTATTCATATTGTAGCACATCAGTATTCTTTTGTTTCACTGTGTTAGTAACATGCTGACCCCGAAACTAATGCAGTATTTCATGCAGAATTATTGTAACAGAATTAGTGATCTCAGAGAAAGAGCTCTTCACGCTTACACTCCTTACGATGCAATATTTGGTCATGCACCCCAAAACTGCAGTGGCTTTTTTTCTCTCACTGCATCTCAATTATCTCTGTAATGCAGGTTTAAATGTGTTTTCCCAAACTGTCTTGCCTTGCCTCTATTTTATGGCCAGTTTGTGCTCACCTAAATTTTGACTGTTGTTGTTATATTTCTTTAAACTTTCCCCTTATTGTTTGAAAGTCTTCTCACTTTAACAATGTATTTCAGTAATGGACTGTCTTCATGCCCCTCTCCCCCCCCCCTCCAGGACTGTAAATACCATTAAAACCTCTACATGGCTATAAAGCAAACTTCATTGCTATCCATTGCTACTCAGACTACCTTTCTTTCTATTTAGGCAAATCTGAATTTATTTTTCAAGCAAGATTTCATGAGAAAGCACACACAGACCTAGGAAAGGATTTTATCACTGATGTGTATGTAATTAATTCCTTTCAGCCACTCATTTTCTATTCCTGAATGTTGCTCTATAGCTTAGTAGCAGGGGCAGTCATCAGCTGAGAAGGGAGAATGAGAGCATGAGGGGCTGGAGAAGGCCGAGTGCATCAGGCCTCCTATAGGATTTGGGCAGGAAAATTATGGAGTTTATACAACCTCAACAGTGATTCTCAGATATCATCAGCTGCTGGGTGCATGTGCAGAAGCAGAACCCTAAGCAATGAAGTAGCTTGCAAGTTGAACATGATGACATACAACAAGCTGAGATGCTCCCAGAGTTAAGTGGACTCATAAAATCATGCCTCTGCTTATTTACCTCAAATATGTCTATGATCTTTAAGGGGCCTAGTCCAATGAGAAGCACTATAAACATGTATTCTGCTTCTGACTACATTCACATCAACACAAACACTGTCCCCAGCTTTCAGTAATTTGTTGTGTAACGTTGTAACAGATGCCAGAACGTGTCCCTTATGCAATGTAAGAAAAATCTCTAAAATTTACACAGTAGTTAGATTTAACCTAAGTTTCACTATATTGCATTTGTTTACCTCTTACATTCCAGTTATACATTACATTTTCTTAAATAAAAACTGGCATCGGTATATATTTTTTGTCACTTTCATTAATATCCTGCAATACATAATCAGCCAGCTTGTTGCTTTTATGTAGTAACCTTCCAACTCAGATAAAACCTTTCTTTAAAGTCCTGATGCTCTACCATATCAGTCTTCATTACTATTAAATAAGGAAAGCGTGCAAACTACTCACTTTCTTCCCCAAATATTTCTTCTGCACTCATGTATTTGTAAATTCCTTTATAATTCGCAATTAGCATGAAATAATTAAACTAACACATCCTCCATAAACCTCAGCTGACTCACAGTATTCTTGGATGTCACTGCATCTTTTTTTTGACACTTTTTCTTAACCTCAGATCTTCAAATCTACATCTAGAACTTATTGTTTTCCACAGCAGTTGTCAGTCATCCTTCAGCTGTAGTGTTTTTGGCTTGTGCAGCCACCTTGCACACCAATGAAGTCTTGGTTCCTATGAGACCAGAACCTTTGTCCTACGCCACCTAAATCGATTCCTTACAGTGATTAATTTAAGTTGCATTTGTGTACAAGTTCCAATTTCTCCATCAATAAGAAATACTATTATCAGAGCATTTTTTTTTTCTACAGGACAATAAAATGGTCATGGTTTATTAGAGCACTGTGGATGTGGCCTTGCTGCCTCTATGGAAGACAAGTAGAAAGGTAAATTATTTGCGTCTTTTCTGAATGTGGCATAAATCTGCTCTATACACTTGTCTTTTTATGTAAGAAAAACCTTGGGCCTTTGCAAGCTGCCTAGGAGGCATCTCCTGTGTTGTGACACTGAACCAAACATTCAGTACCATACTGACTACAAAGGTGTTGGATTAATGGTTTCATTTTGACAGTGTGTGTTAACTTGGGGTGCTCCCACAAACATGCCATGAAACATTCAGCATCCTAGATCCACTACCCCAAGTCTACTCTGGGCAAAATAGAGCCCTAAGCATCCCAACCTCCTCAAATATTTTTATATTTAAAAAATGGGACCATCCTAGGTTCTGGTATCTACTCCTGAAACTGTATGTTTATCCAGCTTCTGTCTCATCAGAAATACAGAAATAGTCAATGATATATAAACAAAACATTGAAACATCTGTGTTAGTATTGTTTTGCTGGTATTTGTAAATACTTCATTTGGTACTATTTCATTAACCAACAGTTAAAAGTTCAGTTAGCATCAGCTAAAATATTAAATTTCAGCACACGTTGATGCCCAGTGATTCCTTCAGAAGTATTTCACAGCTAAGGAACTACCACTTTTTCTTAAAACTGTCATCTTCTTGGCCAAATCCTATGCTTATTCATGGATCTGGGAGCATGAGTTATGTTCACTACCCTTACTTTCATCTCTGGAAGTCAAAGTGTATGGTTTTGGTCCAACACCTTGCAAAGTTCCTGTTTTGACAGTATTTACTGTGATAATATACAATTCTGTCAATTCCTGCACTTTGCAATTTAGCTACTCTGCTATCTATTCTGGTAGTGGTTTGAAGTGTTTTCTCCACTCTCCCTGATGAAAAATTGTAGTATAAACCTTGGCTACTGCTAGCAGCTGCACAGAGCAAGCTGAATATTGCATTGGCCAGACATCCATTTGCAATATTTGCACACTTATTCACATTTTAGGTTACTTCTGAACTGTATATATGCAATAAAAACAGTCAACAAACTTTAAAGACATGTAGTAAGAATACATAAAGAGTATACAGGCAGTAGAACAAAGTCTAGACTTTTCTCCATTTCCCATACTTGTTCCAAAAAATAGAACAAAATACTAGATACTGAGAAATTTACACTCACAATTAAGATGGGGGTGCTATTTCAAAATCCACTTCAAATATTCCTTCTAGGCTGCATGACTAGAAAGCTGCCACTACACCTTGCAAATGCAAAAAAATGCATTTGCATTTTAAGGAAACAACAAAATAAAATCTCTACTTGCAGTCTTCATCTCCTTCTCAAAAGCTTTGTATATTAAATAGTTACATCTCAAAGCTGCAGAAATCAACCACTCTGCTGCCAGTGTTGCCGCTAAGATATCCACTCGGCAGAAAAGAAAGTGACCTTATATGTAAGTTATTTTAATATCTACTCACATCTTAGTATTGTCATAGTTACATATCACTTTCAATACTGGGTAAACTAATTAAAATGAACATTATTAACTCTGCAATTATAAGACTGGGAATCCACTTATCTGTTAGGATTTAAAGCCTTCAAAAGGAGAAATAGACAATTATATTGTACCTAATTTCAGGGAAAAGCCATATACTGTTAACCAGGTGTGATCAGATCTATTACATGCCAGTGATTTTTACCCCAAGCCACAGACAAATGCATTCAAATTAGACCTTTCCTGTCTGTAGAGGTGTTTTACATTGCAGTATGTCATGCAAACATATGTTTTTAAAAGCCTTAACTGTATTATAAAAAAAATAAATCCAGAAACACTTCATTTATAAAAACACTCATTTGCATAGCAGTCCAAATTATTACTGTAAATTACATAGGCTGTACTATATTCAGCCTAAGTGAATCATTCATGTAAAACCTGTAGGAGGAATCTTTTATGAAAACAAAGCCAACACCATTTAAGTTATTACAAAACCCCAACATTTTAATCTTCAAGACTTTTCAAACATTATTGCAATACATTTGTGGGAAAATATGTTACTTCTTAGAAAGATTAAATATATGAAAACAAATTTATATCTTTTCCAGTTACAAAGTTTGATTTTTCTTGTTCAGTTCCGCATTGCCAACATGGCATTTATGTCCCAAATAAGATTCCTTAACTGATCCATGATCTGCTTCAGCTGCTGATTCTTCTGTTTCAGTTTCTGTGGGAAGAGTTTATTAGAAGTTTTTTTTTGTGATCAGTTCAAATAGCACATTCAGAAATTCAACAGAAGTTACAATGATATGAAATACTATATGGATCTTTTTCTCAGTTTTTCTGTGAGCAGTATTAGTGGCATAATACATCCTCTTTAAAGCACACTCTAAAAATACAAGAAAGCCTCAAAAGTTAAGGACTGTTGCTAGAGGGGGAATGCTGTTTCTTTACACAGCAGTTTTTTTATCAAAACTTCAAAAACTGGAGGCTTGTGGGGATCGGTCCTTTCCTTCCAAAATTCAAAAGATAGCACTAGGTGGGAAGAAAGAATTCAGGGAACAGGTAAATTTATGTGAATGTATGTTGTATAACTTGGGTGCACAGAAAAATGAAGGATTAAGAGTAGAAGTTTGAACAAAGCACCAGGTACAGGTGAAGCCCATCAAGCTTTTCCAGCCCTTCTGCTTATGTAGGTCAACCCTGATGTGCTAAGGGCTCCTGTCTTGAAACAGATATTCTCAAGCATGTTGAATTCTTCAAAATTATGTATTTGTTTTTGCAAACTGCAGAAGCATTTGAAAGAGCAGCAGAACAGCAAACTTGCTTTCATTTGGATACATAACCAGAACTTAAAAATTATGTCTTTACAGAAGATCAGTGCATTAAGATATCACATAATCTCCCTAACCTCTCATGTTTCACAACAACACACATCTTATTGTCTGATTTATTAATTTTCCTGCTCAAATCAAAGTTGTCAAGAACTAAGTTACAGTGTATTGTTAACAACAACCTGTGTCCTTCATTTCATTCTGATTTGATGTCAGCCTTCTCACATTAGATATCAAACTACTTATTAGGGAAGTCCAGAGTTCCAAGTAAAGTGAAAGCACAGGAAAGACTTGCTACTGTCAAAAGAGGACAAACTATTCAAAATGTTTCAGGTTTGACGTAACTTTGCTATTTGCACTACACAAATGGCAATGCATTAAAATGGTGACTCAGGTCAGTAATGACCAAAGTAACTGGAACAGTGATAAAAGGAAGCAACAAAAGAAGCTATATCCTGAAAATCAGTGTCCTGAATTTTGATGTGGACAAAACACCAGTATTTTTAAGTTGACACTCAAGTCCAGACTCCTAAGAAGGATGTAAAAACAGATGTTCATGCACACTAACTCAGAATTTCGAATCAAGCATTTGACAGACTAAAAAGTATTTTAAAGATAACTACGTGCATTTATCTAATGCTTCTTTATTTTCTGTTTGCTAATCCAAGACTTCACAATATACAGCAGAGATCCAAGTCCTAAAGAGAGAAACTGACATGCACGTAGTTACCATAGCATCCAAATGACAGAACCACAAGCATCTCCCTACAAGAGCTCATAGAGTAAGATCTTGATGCTTGAAAAAGCACAAGAGGGATAAGTATGTTCCTACCTGTACCATTTTTAAACATATTTGTTTGCCATTCTCAACATTAAATCTTAAAGAAATCAATGAATGTTACATCAAACTACTAGTTTAATGCAAGCTGTGACTCACTGATACCGAGGACATGCCATTTCACAATTTTTCAAAGCCTTCATCGATAGAAATGAAGGCTGAACAGTCAGTGATGGTTATTCAAGTTGCAGAAAGAACCATTAATCTCCGATATGCAGATAGTGTTCTCTCTCCATCCATGTCTAATTGTACCGTTAAATACTGTTACTAGGTATGCTCACACAAACTTTACATAAGTTATGCCCAAAAGACTCATTCTCTAAGACTGTTTTCATTTCTTGTGCAAGTGTTATGAAACTCTAAATTGCTTGATCTTTACTTGATGCTAGACAGGGGAACCTTCAAATTGGATTTCATTTGTTTTCAAAGTATGTGTAAAGACAAGAAGTACACAATTGTTACTTTATTTATCTGAAGATAATTTTAGATCCTTGTCTTCAGTGAAGAGCTATTTTCTTAGCTCTTCTATTCTACTTTTTCAAGAGACAGAAAATCATCTAAGATGAAGCACCATCTCTGCATTGCTACGCTGAAAAAAGAATAAAGAGAGGGGAAAAATCCACTTCAGAGCGTATGATCTCCTAATTGAAATGCATATAGTGATCTTTTGTTACCAGTCTCTGACACTGGTCCACACCACAAAGTACTACATAATTCATATGTTCTGCACGACTGTCAGTGCCAGCCTCTGCTTAAGACTTTACTGAGCCAGTAAGAACATCTCAACTCAGGTCTAACCAGGTGAAATGGCCTTCTTGGGAAATGGGCAAGTTCTGTAAACTGCTTCTGTAGCAATGACAAATTTTTGTTTGAACGGATTGCTTACAATTTGTCTCCCACTCTTTCCTCCTTCTACTGAAATGACTTAGTTGAACTCTGGACTGCTTCTCAGGATTAATAGTTGTATGAAACAAGAAAAGGTTCTTAATCCTACATATATGCTACAGCTTCTGACTTTATCTGTTTTAAGATAGCACAGGAAAATTATCTTACATCAGGCAGTTTATATATAATGAGTTTAAGAGATCTAAATTCACCTTACATCTAACAGACATGTTTCTGTTAGGCCCTCTCTGTCAGACAAGTGATCTGACCTAAAACCAATCCTAAGGCATCTTCTTTGGTGATATTAATTTTCAATGTAATTAACTATCCATTTTGATTGACACTGCAAGTACTACGGCCAGCATGATGAAGCTGGCAAGGACTGCACCTTCCAGTAACTAACGAGACCTTAATAGGCTTAGGTCAGGTAGGACATTTATGAAAACATGTACAGAAGCACAAAACCTACATAAATGAAACAAAGTGGGAGAACCATTACATACATCCAGAAAATAGCTGTCTTTCGAGGAACATGCCATAAAGAACTTGACATGTTTCATAAAGATTCGGATTCAGTAGGACACAGAATTTCAACTTTGACTGAAATCTGTTTTTGACTTAAACTCATTTCTGGTTCACTTTCATTTCATTTGAAATTGGTGCAATCCACAACTTTCCTTTGCACACCATTCCCATCGCTCTCCTCATCTTAAACTCATCTATCTTTCACATTTTAACATCACTATGAGTCATTATTCTGCACTCAATCCATCTGTTAAATGTCCCTTCTTCAGGCAAAGATAATAGTGTAAACACTGTGGAAGAATAAGCTTATATTCCAACTGATGTCTGTAAAAACATCAGAAGTACTTGCCTTTGTTGTACAGACACTTCCTCTACTTAAGAAAAAATAAGAAAAAGAGGTGTTTCCATCCTGAAAATCTAATATAAAAGACCATTCTCCTGAATGCTGTGCCAGCTATAATTTTGACTTGCTCTGTTTGAGACCTGCAACAGTACAGGCCAGAATTACATCTAAGTCTAATAAAACATTAAATATTAATAACAGTATTACCTTTACTTGCATAAACCTCAGCAAAATTAAAACAATTATGTTTACTTTGTTGATGATGGCTCTACTGCAGAGAAAACTTGCATCATCTTCTCCATAAGCATGTTACTCCTCCTGACTGTTAAGCTGCTCTAGGAAGAGATTATTGAAAGTCTTATGAAGGTGACAATGGCCTCTGCTTTTCTATGTAAATCAAACATGAGATTTCTACAGAAAAACAATGTTTGTGAGAGGCAAGAAAAAGTAAAGCCTGACCTGGCAATTTACACTGTTTGGGTTTTTTTTTTGTGGGTGTTTGTTTTTTTGTGGGTTTTTTTGTTTGTTTGTTTTGGTTTGGTTTGGTTTTTTTTTGTTTTTTGAGTCCTTCATAATGAAATCTGAAGTAAGGAGATGGAAAAAAATCTTATCTTTTTTATTTTTTCCTTTCAGTTTTAAAGTCATAGGACTTACAATGTTATATGCAAACAGCAGGGAAAAAAATAGAAAAAATGCCTCAACACTTTGCTCAAACTCTTAAAACTGCCAGGTGATGTTCTAATTTACAGCTACTCAGTTGATACCAAGGCCCACTTTCCATCATAATAAATTCACATACCCATCTATTTATAATATTTTATAAAAATGGATAAAAAGTATTAATCACTAATACACTAAATGCTGTATAATTGAACATGAGCACACTTACTGTTCAATAACTACAGGTTTTCCTGACATCATTCACAGGCATAATTGTTCTACCCTTACTGGAAATGAGAAACTGGATTTTCTGTCTCCCTCCTCATCTGATAGCTGAGAGGAAAACTGCTCCTTCTGCATGCATAACTCTTTGTTCCTGAAATGAGCAGAGGCACCAGTGACAGCCTGTGCTCTACTGCATGCTCAATACTTTTCACGTATTGAACCAGACAGCAATTGCATGTATCCACTGCTCTGTTGTTCAAAGAGGAATAAGTGTGTTCATTAAAACAGATGAATGTTTTCTTCAAAGCAATTTATCATTCAGCGATGAAGTCTGAGGTCTTATTTACTGAGTACCCTTTAAGCTATGTAGCTTGTAATGGAATTATCCATTCCCCAAGGTGCCTCTTCACCACACTTCTCAGCATTACATCCTCATTCTTAACATGAAAATCACACAGATGTATGATTCTCCATTACAGATAGCAAACTAAGTCACAGGAACACTATGGATAAAACTGGAGTGCCCACTAACTTTGCCCAGAGACATCTAACATTCAAGCCCATCACTCAACTTCGTGTTTTTACAGATTCCCACATATTCCAAGGATAGCTATCACCACCCATAAGTGGAAGCATGAACAACTACCACAGACATTTTGTGTTAGACAAGGATAAAAATCCAGTTCAAGAGCAGCCTTCATTACTCATTACTCAGAGTAAATCCTTCCTTCTTGTTCCCAAATTCCTGCTTATTCAATATCCTCAATGTAAGTTTCACAATACATAAAACAGGATTCATATAATCTTATTTATCATGATACTGATTCAATCTAAACAGTGCCTTGTCTGCAACAAAAGTGGAACAGCTCAAGGACTCTTCCAGAAAAGCAAGGGGTGGGGTTGAGAGGAACCAAACG